TAATACTGCATTCAGCGGATAATAGATTGGATGAAGCTCTGTTACAGCATGATCACCCATAGTTTTGTTGTTAAACAAACAACAAAACTCCCTAAATCTTTACTGTTCTTTATATCCTTAAAGCTTTGATTAAGTTTAAGCCCCTGACCCCACCTTTATCTCCTCTTCAGAGCATTCCCAGAAGTGTCTCCATCCATCTCTCCAATCTTCTTAAAACGTGGGTTTTGCGTTTTAAGCTGAGAAAATTGGCAGTTATTGCAAGGATAAGTTTAGATTGATCATAAATATACAAAAACTGTTCATTCTCAGGAGCAATCAAGTGTACGTTAAAACCCTGAGCTGTGCTTTCTTGTTGTGATCAGTTGGCAAAGATGAAAAGAGATGAGAATACTTTATTTTGGCACGGGTGCAATGGAAAAGTGGCTCTCCTATACTTCTCTGGGGAATATTAATTGGTAAAACCTTTCTCTAAGGCAATTTGGCATTGTGCATCAAGCGCTTTGAAATAATTCAGGTTCTTTAGTCCACTTAATATCCTTTGGAAACCATCCTAAAGAAATAGCACATACAGAAACAAAGATAGGTATACAACAGTGTTCACCACAGTGAATTTTATGATAACAAAAAATTAGAAGAAACCTAAATGTCCAAATGAAGGATAACATCCCCATGTGATGGAATGTCATTCATTCAGATTTGGAGGCGTTTGGTGATAAAAGTACAGGGTGAGACAAAAGTAGGTTTTTAGTTGTGAGAATATGAAACAGTTTATTCTTATATTATTACTTAGTAACTAGGGGCCCAGTGCATGAACTCGTGCACCTTAAAAGGAACTGTGGGCCACGAGGCTGTGGTGGGCATAGGGGCGGGTCTCGGTCCATCCTCGTGCCCCTGCCAGGCTCCTCCCACTGCAGCCCCATCCCCCGTCTGCCGGCATCCCCGCTCCCGCCACCACCAAACACACTGATGGCATTGGCCAACACTCGCACCCACTGATGGCACAGAGCGATTGGAGCCAGTGCCAGCAGCAAGTGCAAGCTGCAGCTGCTGCCCTGATTGCCCCTCAGGAGCAGGGGGAGGTGGAGAAGCCCTCAGGGGCGATTGGGACCGACGCTGGGCGCCGGCAGCGGGTGCGAGTGGGTGGCTCCAGTGCTGGCAGCGGGTACAAGTGGGGCTGGTGCCAGAAGCAGGTGTGAGCTCTTGGCGGGACTGTTGCACACAGGAGCAAAGAATTTTCAGTTACCACCAAAGGCTCAACCTGATGACAGTGACCGGCTCCCCGCCTTGGTCTGGTGCCTCCGCTCACCTGCTCCACCATCCCACTGTGGCCAATGCCTGCCATGTTCCACATGTGCCCCCTGGTGATCAGTGCATGTCATAACGGCCGATTGTTCGGTTGTTCTGCCATTTGGGCTATTTGCATATTAGGGTTATATAGAGAGAGATTATTGTATTACTTTCCATATGAACAACTGTAAACCTGCTTTCACCTTTACCCTGTATACATGGCATAAAACTTACCATTTTAGCCATTTTTAATCATGCAATTAATTCAGTGACATTAAGTACATTTGCATTGCTGTGCTACCATAATCACTTTCCATATAAAACTTTCCTCCTCTTGCATAACTCAAACTCTATACCTGTTTAACAATTTCCTATTCTTTCTTCCCTTACCCCAACCCCTGGCAACCACCATCCTATTATCTGTCTTTATGAATTTGACTACCCTAGTAATTTAAGTGGAATCTTATGGTATTTGTCTTTTGGGTATGTGACTGGCTTATTTTACTTATAATGATGTTCTCTTGAGTTCATCCATGCTGTAGCATGTGTCAAAATTTTCTTTTTAAGGCTGAATAATTGTATGTATACACCACATTTTGTTTATTCATCTATCGATGGACATTTGGGTTGTTACCACATTTTGGCTATTGTGAATAATGCTGCTATTGAACACTGGTGCAAAAATATCTGTTTGAGTTCTCTGCTTTCAATTCTTTTGGATTTATACCCAGAAGGAAATTGTGGTTTTAAAAATCTTTAATATATCAAAGTTTAAAAGATTATAAAGAACATGATTCTCTTTTGTGGGGGGAGGAAGTATGCACATAATAAAAGGACTGGAAAAACACAGTTAAAAACAATTTGGGGCTCTTTATTTTCTTTCTGACTTTTCTATTGTAAGGAATATATACAAATACATAGTTTGAATTAAATAGAGGACCCCACCATTTTCAGATGAATGAACAAAGTAATCTGGCAATAGCTTTTCTCTAATGCTGTACTGCTTTACCTCTGGGTTATAAAAATGATAATTTCAGAAATATCCCTAGAGATGTAAAGCACCATGAAATTCAGTTTAATTACTTGTATGTCTCTCAGAAAGAATCACAGCTGTTCTATCACAGAGAGGGACAATGACAGCTAAATAGAAAGAACTTGACTTGAGCTTAGTTTCTTCTTTGATAGCAAGTACATGTTCTTTATGTAGAAATAACCAGCTCAGGAATATTTCCTTTATTCTTGACTTTGTTGAACGTCTCAGTGCAGATGCCAGAAGTGAGCTAAGGCTTTCTTCTAAAGACATCACTCCATAATCAAGTATTTAGAGCTGGCTTGCAATCCGCTGACAGATGCAGTGCTAATGCAGCAGCCCTTGAACACAATCTATTGCTTTGAAAGCTTAACAAGAAGTTTTCATCTTTTTAATCTAATAATGAATTGAAGAATACAGATTACTTATCTTCTTTCTACAAGTATTTAGTACCAAAATAGAAAAAAATCAACAGTAGTGGAAATGCCTGTGTGCAGTTACTCAAAGCCACTGGACTTCTCTTAAGATGTGAATGTCTGGTTCCATCCTTAAGATTTGCTTTCTTCATGAAGTCTTCTTTCAGTTAGCTTCACTCACATATAAGCATTTCATTTATCTTTATAGATAGGTTTAAAATATTAACCATTTTTAGAGATTTCTTTATGTAAGGACTAACTAACATATTGTTCATGTTCATTTATCCTCTTGCTAGTTAAAAACCTTGACGTTTTCGATGACATAAAATTTCTTATTTGCTGCATTTTTATGGGCACATTCAGCAGTCTTGCCATATTGTTCTTTTGCAAATGCTAGTCTTCAGTCTAATAAGATCGATTGAATATATTTTGTGACAAACACCATTCTTTGCAAGAATTCATTGATATCTATTTCTGTTGTAGAGTACAAACTTTATCCTTAATATGAAAACAGTTCATATACCAATTCTTCAAAGGAAACGGAACTCTCCCTAGCAAGAAATGAAAGGACCTTACGTAGGCACAAGGAAATACACTGTCAATATTTTATTAAGTGGTGAATGCCAAAAATGTTAAAATGTAATGCACTGAAGGTGATATGCAATTCACTCATTTAATTCAGTCTGTACCTTTTTGATCATATGGTTTTTATCAAGGTCAGGATATAGACTACTGAAAGAAGTGAATAGATTACTTTTATCTTCTACATACTGCTTTGTTTATCACTTGTCTCAGCCCAGTTCTTGGTGAGAAGTAGATGCATCTTTCCTTCATTCAGCAAGTATTTTGTAATCACCTGCAATGTGTCAGGCAGTCTAAAGATTCAGTTACTAGAGATTCAATGCTCAATATTACTGACAAGTTCCTTGCTCTCATGGGGCTTACATTCTATTGGGGAAGATAGATAACAAAAATCTCAGGTTGTTATAACTTCTGTAATAAATAAGAACTATTTAGAGTGTCCATTTTCCCCCCGCGTGTTATGCTAATATGTGATTGTCAAGAATTTTTTTATTTCATTTAAATTGCCACATTTATTGTCATAAATTTGTTTTGAATATCCATTTACTTCTTTTTAAATGCCAGTAGGACCTTCAATTTGTATTTTCTCTCTTTTCCTCTCCTCTTACTCCTCTCTCTCAGTCTGCTGCCCATGAGTTTATTAATTTTACTAATTTTCTTGTAGAACTAACTTTTTCCAGTGCTGGTAACCTTTGGTGCACATCTGTTTTCTATTTCATTGATTTCTTCTCTGTATTATGTCCTTCTTTCCATTCTGTTTGAAGCTGATATATATATGAACACCTTTATCTTGAAACTGTAAGGTATTTTTTCTACATAACCTTTTCTTGTGTCATCAAATAGTCATTCATGAGGTATTTAATCCTTATATTGTCCTCCTTCTGACTCTTTTAAAATAAAGATTTCATTTTATGTTTGTCTTAAGTAGTTTCTATTAGTCACCAGAGCATTTATTTTACTTTTCTTCTTCTCCATGCACCCAAATGAAATGATATTGAGTATTGTTGCCTGTTGAATGATGTATGTGAAAAAAAAAACCCTAGAATGGAAGTGTTACCTTGAAAATACAGTGGATATGCAAGAACTGAAGTCTTTTACAATGCTGAAGTGTTTTCAAAGGTTGATATTTAGTGTCGTGCAGATTCAAAAAAGGCTTCTTATGTTTTTTGAGCTAAAATTAGTATGCACAGGCACAATCTTTGTTTTTCTTAATTTCTTAGTGTAATTAACATTCTTTATTTCATTTCTATACCACCCTTATGGAACTGATTGTTTTAGTATGTTACCCAGATGATCCTCCTCATTGCTCTGTGTATTTTCAAGGCTTTTTATAAAACCACTTTTAAAAATATGCGCACAGTTCTCATTTTAAAATTTTCACTGCATATACATGCGCACATACAAACTATCTCACATTTCTGGTAAACTATTAAAGAGAGGACATTTTCCAACAACTGGGCTGCTATGGTGAGGGTAGGTTAACTGGTGGAATACAATGGAGCAGAGGGTGAGAATGTGCAGTCACTTAAGCATTAAATCCTAATAGCACACTTGATTCTGGGTGAAGGCCAGTAGAATATTTTTACTTACTCAGGCATTGGAGTTATGCAAACAAAAGCTATTGCACACCAAGAGTTTCATGACTGAGAAAGTAAACTTGTACATTTGTTGTTGTTTTTTTATAGGTTCAAAAAGGCATTTGAAAGTGAGCCTACACTACAGTCAGGAATTAATTATGCAGTTCTTCTTCTGGCAGCTGGGCAACAGTTTGAATCTTCCTTTGAGCTCCGGAAAGTTGGTAACTACAGCTTGATATTTTACATGAGAATCCAACTTTATACAAAGAAAAAGAATCATTGGTAGATAGACTTTTGCTTTCTATCTCATCTGACTTCCTGAAAATTTTTTTATGATATTTCCTTGTTTAGTGTTTTCAACTATGGTGCAGAATCCTGATATTGGGACTTAAATCAGTTTTTAGTTTATTTTACCTGTTTCGAAAAACACCCTGGTTAATATTTATTGTTCTAGTGCAAACTAACATAGAAAATATAGGCTCCTGCCCTAACCAGTTTGGCTCAGTGGATAGAGCGTCGGCCTGCGAACTGAAGGGTCCCAGGTTTGATTCTGGTCAAGGGCATGTACCTTAGTTGCGGACACATCCCCAGTAGAAGGTGTGCAGGAGGCAGCTGATTGATGTTTCTCTCTCATCGATGTTTCTAACTCTCTATCCCTCTCCCTTCCTCTCTGTAAAAAATGAATAAGATATATTTTTTAAAAAAAGAAATTATAGGCTCCATTTTCGGTGGAATTTTTGAACTCTATGACACGTTATGGGAGAGAATCAGAATTATAGGTTTGGCTCTCCATCAGTAATGATGATGTAATAAAAGAACAATGTAATTAGAATTGAGACAAATCACTATTTGAATCTCATTTTCAAGGAGTAATAAAAATAAAATTTGTATCACTGAGTATTACAATCTGTGAATCTATAAAAATAATTAAGACAAAGAAATCAAAACAAAATTCATCACCAAGCACAAATCAACTCATTTGTTATCTGTGGAGGTGACCAACTTCTCAGAAAATTGGGTATTATAGGGGAAAAATTAAGTACTTTCCATTTCTTTTAAAGACATTCTATAGTTCATCCAGTTGGTGAGATAAAGCTCGTCTTAAAGAATGCTACATACCAACTGTATTTTGTTCAGAAGAATGTATTCTTCAAAAGAATGCTAGCTAATAGAGTAGAACGCATGATAAAACTGATAGTGATGTTGAAATAATGATTCTGGCCCAGATCAATGAAAATGTTTATTTGTAAAAAAAAAAAAATTATTTGCCATATTTACACGGTACCAAAGCTCACAGATTGCTTGTTAGTCACAAAGCAACAAACGTACCTGTACATCCCCTCCAGGAACCAGGCTGTCAGTGATCCAACTGGCATCCTTAGTGGATGACTCCACACGGGCCCCCTGACGTGGTGAATATGGAGCAAACAGCATCTGCTGTGAAAGAGCCTCACCAAAAATGTGTAGCCCGAATTTAAGATCTAACATCTAGTTAATAGGAATTACAGTGTCTAGAAAAATAAATCAGACATCACCCTGAAGCGCCGTCAGACATATCCATAATGTGTGGACGTTCTACAGTACCGTTCTCCTTGCCTCTTTAAAAACTCAGTGTCATGGGGGACAAGTGTGGGCGGAGTGTTACTGAGATTTAGCAACACAATAAACAAATGCCATTAATGATTCTTGATTGGATTCTGGTTTGAAACAAAAAAGCTATAGGAGATATTTGGGAAACAATTAGAGAATTTGAATTAGGACTTGATAATACTGCATAATATTAAGGGATCTTTATTTTTGTTAGGTGCAATAATTGAATAGAATTTTTTAGGCATATGCTGCAACACTTAAGGGTGAAATGTCATGATGTCTGTAATTTAATTTGAAATGTTGCAACAAAAATATTCAGGAAGATGAAGCAAGAGCAAAATGTTAGCAATAATCAAAAGTATGGCCATTCATTGTTACATTTTTTTTTCTCTTTTCATGTATGTTTGAAATTCTCCGTAATGGAAAATTGAAATGGAAAGAATTTAATCTCCTCTATTTATGGAGGCTGTATGACCTTAGACAAGTTGTTAAAGGTCTCTGAGCTCTTTTTTCCTTACTGAAGAAAAGAGAAAAGCTCTAATTCATTGTATGGTTGTATGAATTGAGAGTTACATTTCCAACATGCTTTGCACAGTGCTGAGCCTCTAATGAGTGTTCAATAAAGGCTCTGTTTCCTAAATTCCTCCACTACAGCAGCCTTGAATCTAATAGTGGCTCCAAGTTGTAAATCTATCATAAAACTAAACTATTAAAAATATCTTCAGTTCTTAGAAGCCAACCACTTCTAATTAGAGCATTGTCTGTTTAAATTACTGAAACAGATAACTGAATCAAAGAATTGATATTTGAAACAGGAGTGACATACTGTTTGTTGTGTATAAATTTAGCCAGAATTTTTTTAAAGAAAAATAGCCAGCTGATAAGGAGTGGTAAAAAGGTATAAAAAGGGATCAAGACCCTTAAAAATATTGTAGCCTAGCACTAAGTACAATGTTACTTCTGGGACTTGTTCCTATGGAAATGGTCTCTAAGTAGGGGGAGGAGGGGATGTGATGTTTATTCCTGTATTCCTTGAGGGGGGGAGCTTCTAAATATAAAAATTAAAGCCATGTTCATAACTTCATACCTAAAAGATTACTATCTTCATGTAGACACAGGGTTCATGCAGCATGTGGAAAGAACATAAAAGCTAATACACAAAAGAAATACAAACATGAAAAGAAAATCAATCTCAATGGAAAAAAAAAGGCAATTTTCTTTCTCTGTCAGATCGGTAAAGATGAAAGGACAAGATAGTATCCACAATTGGGAAAGGTGTGGGCAAGAGATTATTGTCAGGCGCCACCAGTGACAATATAAATTGGTACAGCATTTCTAAGGACAACTTGGCAAATGTATCAAAACTTAAAATCAGTGCATCTGCATGAAGCAAGACCAGGGTTAGGACTTTATAATAAAGAAACAGTTGAATAAGTGCATAAAACTATGTGTATAGGAATGTCTGTAGTAATAAAATGTCATCTGCTGCATTTGGGTAAATAAATTGTGACATATCCATATGCTAAAATACTATTTGCCATAAAAACAACATTTTGTCCAAATGCTGAATGGCTTGGTGTCATAATCATAGATTTATACCAAGGCCAAAGCTAAATATCACCCTCACAGAGTGAACTTCTGGCATGGAAGAATAAATCTGAAATGTTATTTAAAACTATTATTGAACTCCCTTTACTATTAAACATTTTCTTAGTCCCTACTTAAATGTTTGACATCGCCCAGCCGTGTGGCTCAGTGTTTGAGCATCGACATATGAACCAGGAATTCATGGTTTAATTCCCGGTCAAGGTATATGCCTGGGTTGTCAGCTTGATCCCCGGTGGGGGGCATGCAGGAGGCACTGATCAACAATTCTCTCTCATCATTGATGTTTCTTTCTCTCTCTAAAATCAATAATATTTATATATATGTTGACATGGTATCATGATAGATCAGTCCTGGGTTCATTGTTGTGCACATAACACACAATAAAGAGATGCTCATTTTCAACTGAGGTTGGTAGAGACATGTTTTTCCCATCTCATTTTTCTCACACACTTTCTTCTTTCATTTGTATTCATCATATTTTTTATTATGTTCAGAAAGGAGACCATGGATGGTGTTGCATATACATGTGTAATTTTTTTTTATCTCATAAAATTTTAAAGTGACAAAGCTATTTTCTTTTTAACTTACCACAAAATGAGAAGAGTGGCCTTCTTCCTGAAATAGTCATGGCTTAAGTGGAATTATATAATAAAAAGTAGCACAAAGTTTTTTAAAGATTATTTTGTTTTGTTAAAATATAATTTTCAAAAAATAGACATTTATAACTCAGAAACTATAAAGTGGACACATGTAAGACATTTTAGTTAACTCAGTTGATACCGAAGCTAGTAGGAGAGTATGTCCAGTTCAAAGAGCATTTAAGAAGTGGGGTATTTACAGACAATTTAACAAAGAAATGTTAGGATAAGATTTCTGAGTTTGATTTTTAAAAAACTGGTTTATGTTCAAGAGGTCATAATCTTAGGGATTATCTGTTTTACTAGATAGAAATTATTTGCGTCTCTATTGAACAAAACCCCACAAGTTAACAAGTAAACTTCTCTAAATCTGAGATCTTTAATAAATACAAAGTTACTGCATTAAATGAAATAATCCAGACACAAATGACTATATATTCTATTACTCTGTATATATGAAACTTCTAGAGAGGACAAAACTTACAGAGAAGAAAGCAGATCAATGATTGTCTAAGCCTCGGGCAGGAATGGGGATTGACTACAAATGGGAAGAAGAGAATTCAGTCGGAGAAAGAAATATCACATGATCTCACTCATTTGTGAAATATAATGGACATAAACTGATGAACAAAAATAGAGCCAGAGAAAAATATTTAGATTATAATAGAAGTAATCCTGTTACTTGCAGATTTTAAAATCACCAAACTGTACATTTTCAATAAATGAATTGTATGGCAGATGAATTATACCTCAATAAAGCTGTTACAAATGTTTTTTTTTTAAAAAAAATACAAAATAGTGAGATGAACTAACTACACTTTTCCTAGACACTCCTTGAGTGGATATACCCCTATGTAATATTGAAATGATGCCTTCCCCTTTTTTTTTATCTTACTCCCAAATCTCAGATAATTTTCTTGACAATTATGGATGTTAGTGGCACTAAACAATTCTGCAAGGATATATTCTCTTTAAGCAAAATAATTACAAATGCAAAAATAATATAAGACAGAGTAAAGATGAAAATTTTAATGAAATGCAAAGAATCTAGAAGGACCAAAACATTGTAAAAAAGAACAAAGTTGGAGGATTTAGATTACTTGATTTCAAATGTTGTTACATTAATCAAGAGAACATTTTTCTGTCAGCTTCATTATTTTTAACGCTGTAGTATATAATTCTTTTTGCATATAATATTGTATCATTTTACTCTTACAAAAGATATATACTGTACACATTTATATTTCAACTAACTGATAGAATGTTAGCATATTTCCCTTTCAAGTAATTAAAGAACCCATGATATAATAAGGGAATGAGGGGGGTTATACAACAAGACACTTGGTGTTAGCACCTTTTAATTTTTGCATATACAGACATACATACAAACTCTGGAATGATGTACATCAAAGTGACAGTGGCAGGTACCTTTGAGTTTTTAAGTTAATGGTAAGTTTCACTTTCTTCTGTGTGCCTTTAGGATTAACCTGACATTTTTACAATGAACTCAACCCCCTTTTATAATCCGAAACAGAACAAGGCTATTTTAATCTGAAAGGAGGGGTGAAAGCTTCATTTTGTTTTTTAATAAAAAGTCAGCTCTGCCTACTTGCTGTGTGTTTGTAATGTTGTACTTCCTGTCCGTCTCCTAGGGGTGAAGCTTAGTAGCCTTCTTGGTAAAAAGGGAAACTTGGAAAAACTCCAGAGCTACTGGGAAGTTGGATTTTTTCTGGGGGCCAGTGTTCTGGCCAATGACCACTTGAGAGTCATTCAAGCATCTGAAAAGCTTTTTAAACTGAAGACACCGGCATGGTAATAAACTGTTACGTGTTTATACAATGGCTTTTCATAAACAGCTCCTATCACTTCTTTCCAAATTGTTATATTTGTTGAACTTACAATTAGATTATTTTATTTGCTTACAGAATAAAATGCAGAATATAGAGAAAAAACATGATGTCTATAAGTAAAATGTGTTGAATATAGGTTCTGATGATTTTGGACATGGGTGATGTCTGCCGGCTACTAGCTTACCCTTTCTCTCACATTGACCAACCCACTCACCCAGTGTTACCCACATAAATCATGCAGAAGCCTCAAACTTTATACCTACAAATCTAATCAGCAGGTTTACAGTTTCCATCTCAGCCTCCCAGCCTCTGCTCCAAATACATGCCCTTTGTTTCCTTTATGATCTAATCTCAGTTTTGGAATTACCATTCTTTTTACTTAGGGTTTACTGACACATTTTGGTGTTTTCTCTCTCTCTCTTTATGTGTGTGTATTTTTCTAATTTCAAATTGTTCTTGGCATGCACCCAAGTCTCATCATTATGTATGTGATGATTTATTTTATTTTATTTTATTAAATCTTTATTGTTCAGATTATTACATTTGTTCCTCTTTCTTTCCCCCCATAGCTCCCCTCCACCCAGTTCCCCCCCCACCCTCTGCCCTTACCCCCCCAACTGTCCTCATCCATAGGTGCACATTTTTGTTCACTCTCTTACCCCCCACACCCCTTTTCCCCCAAGAATTGTCAGTCTACTCCCTTTCTATGCCCCTCATCTGTGAAGCTCTTAATCTGACCTTCAGTTCTGAATGAAAGCTTTGCTGGATAAAGTAATCTTGGTTGTAGGTTCTTGGCATTCATCACTTTGAATATTTTTTGCCACTCCCTTCTGGCCTGCATAATTTATGTTGAGAAATCAGCTGACAGTTATATGGGTACTCCCCTGTAGGTGACTGACTGTCTTTCTCTTGCTGCTTTTAAGATTCTCTCTTTGTCTATTGCTCTTGGCATTTTAATTATGATGTGTCTTGGTGTGGTCCTTTTTGGATTCCTTTTGTTTGGGGTTCTCTGCGCTTCCTGGACTTGTAAGTCTATTTCTTTCACCAGGTGGGGGAAGTTTTCTGTCATTATTTCTTCAAATAGGTTTTCAATATCTTGCTCTCTCTCATCTTCTATGTATGTGATGATTGGAGAGATGAAAACAAAATTCCATCTGTTTTTGAAAACAGTGCTAATTTTATTATGCATCCCATGTAATGACTGACCATTATCCATAAAGACTTTTAAAGGTTAACAATGATACTGAGAAAGGCTTAGAACAGCTCTGAGCCCAGGCCACCGGCTTGTTTTCCTCAGAGGAAACATTTGAGGAGATGGCCACCCTGTTATGTCCTCATACCTTCCTAAGGGATTTTCTCATTTTCTGCAAATCCTCCCCAGCATCACTCCCATTGTGATCTTTCTGACCTTCCTCCTCAACTGGAATCCTAAAATCAATATAGTTCAATGGTGCCTCAGCCTAAGGGATAAAGTCCATCTCCTTGGCTTGGCAAACAAGGTTTGTGCTTAGTCATTCCAGCCTCGGTTTTTGTTACGCTGCTGTCCGTTCACACCGAACATGCCATACTGCTTGGGAATGCCTCTTGCAGCTCCCTTCTCCACCTGGGGACACTCATAAATCACATCTGCTCAAAATCAGACCCTGACCTTTAACCCTTCCCTGCTTCCAGATACAGTTCATGGATATCATTGCATACACGTGTGATTATTTCATCTCATGAAATTTTCTTCTTTCATTTTTCTGCATTCAGATATTGTTAGTCATGTCTGTTTAGTATTAGCTTTGTTGATATTAATCACATGGTGCTATAATACCTTTTACCTTCTGTCTCCTCAGCACTGTGCACAACCTGAGAACAGAGTTGTGCTGTCAGTAGTATGTTTACAGAGGGCAGTCAGCAAGTGACATGAAATACATGAACTAATAAATGCATGCGTTAAATGTAGCCAACTTTGTTATTTCTTCATGATAACCATTCTGATGGTAGAGGAGGTTGAGACTGAAGCACAGGTACAAAGAGATTTGGTTTTAGGTATCCTGGTTTCTATGGACAAGAAAACAAACATTGTTTTATTCAATAGTAATAACCATGAAACAGTGCCTTAAATTTCCATTAACTTAATGTTAGCTTTCATGTTTATAGTTTACAGTATGCTTGCATACCCATTGTCTCATTATAATTACCTTGCTTCTCATTTTTGCTAACTCTTTTCTTGGAGGTACCAGCTGTCTTATCAGATTTGGGGATTTTTGTGTAATGTATAAGCTGAGTTGCTTCAGGTAAAATAATGATCTCTTATGAAGGGTCTATTTAGAAAAGCTTTCTTAAGGAAGTATATTTTAAAATAAATGTGTTCACCACTTCCTTGAATAGGATATAGGCATTATTTTAAAAGTCATGTTTTAAGTAGATATATCACCCAGTCCAAGTTATTTAAACTCTCTAAGCCTCAGTTTCCTCATCTTTAAAATGAGTATAAACCAGCCTGTTTATTGCATTTTTGTGAGATTTAAATGAGATAATGTGTGAAAGTTCATGACATATAAGAAATAATGGATAATGTTTGGTGAATCTGAATGCATAATTTTTAATGCCATATTTACACTTATCGAGTAAGACTGGGATACATGGGAACAGGTGGTTCTAAATTTGCCTCATGTGTTTCATATCTTTAATGTTTAGGTACCTCAAGTCTATTGTAGAGACAATTTTAATATATAAACATTTTGTGAAATTGACTACAGAACAGCCTGTGGCTATACAGGAACTCGTGGACTTCTGGATGGACTTCCTGGTCGAGGCCACAAAGACAGATGTTACTGTAGTTAGGTTTCCAGTGAGTACTCTTTGTTTAACTTAACTCTAATTATAGTTCTATTTTTTTTCTTTCATTTAAACTTTATCTTGCATTGTGGTTGTAATAGTTCTATATGCTGATTTTCATGCCCTAAAACAACAGTCATGTGGTTAATACATTTATTTTCTGCACATTGGTTTGCATTAGCTTATTTTTTAAAATAATTTCTCAAACTCAGAAAAATGAGATACATTTTTATGTTTTGCCATGAAATTTGGAGGTTTCTTTTCATAAGTTGTAAAGTGCACTTTCCCAAGAGAATATTGTCTCTTAGTTCAGTAAGACAAGACATCTCTTCAGACCAGACAGATGGGTACTTCTAATTCAGATTCCAGCTTTGTTAACATCATCATCAATATCAATTGCCATTATTGTGATGAAAAGTGTCAGGCTTACCTGCGTTGTTATTCCATTTCCAGCACTCATTATCCTCATGAGTCAGAGTTAGATGTAGTATCCACAATCACTCTTTACAATGCTTTAGATCATGGGAAATGATGACTTGTAGGTTTTGGTCTGCAACTAATTTTGACTGGTCTCTATCAAACTTCATATATATATAATGGAGACACACACAAACACTTTAGAAATATATTTCTCACCTTCTCAGCTAGTGCCATCCCCACCCTGATAGCTCTCAGAATCCCATCTAAAGCAGTATATAGCTTTAGCATCCAATGCAAGAATTATTGGCTACTCAGTGTGTGCATAAATCTCTTCTCACATCAAAGGGATGCCATACCTCTCTCTGTTTGAGCTCCTAGTCTCAATCTTCCACACCCAGAGGTGGTGACAACTCAGTTCTTTTCACAAAATCTTGTTCTGTAGTTCTTGTTGATAGCATCATCTGTTTGATTTAATTAAATCAATTGCTGGCATTAACAGGCTTTCTTTATTCTTGTTTTCAGATGAAGCTTGAAACGCAGCAGGAGCTTTAGTTGAAAAGCCTTTCATACTGAAACACTTAACTTTATTTTCTAGCCCAGATTATGCGTAGCTAGGAAAACACTTCTCTCAGAGTGAGCTGGCAGCTTGCCTTGAGCTGGGGCGCTGATGCTAGTAAATGTGGTGGTGAGAGAAGACAGCACAGATCTAAGTATTTAATTATTGACTATTGACTTGATCGACTAGAAAATTAGCTGTGAGAGGAAAGCACTCATATTAGCTATTCCAATCTGATTTAAATTAGCTTAATATGAATCACTCTGTCATAATGTGAATGTAAAAAATAAAACCAGAAAATATGAAGAGAGAAGTTAGTAGAATATAGCTATACAGTCCAAGTGAGAGAGGCCTTCTTAAGCAAGAAAGGGACCCGTAAGCCTGAAAGGCAAATATTGACCAATTTGATTTCATTAAAAATTCAAATTTTTGTTCAGTATGAAACACCACAAACATGGCAAATGCTAGACAGGGAAACAATACTTAATACCAATGTTGCAGAATGATTAATTTGCTTAATATGTAAAAAACCTCAACCAACTCCTAATTTATACACAAAAGAAATATGGGCAAATCATGTGAAGAGAAAATTAATATTTTCTCACTGAGTAGTCAAATAAAGGAAATAAAAATGAGACACCATTATACCTATGCTGTTTTACACATGTGCAACTATATCTGGAAGATAAATTCCCACAAGTGAAATAGATTAATATTGCCATGCTGCCCTCCCACAGGATTATATCATTTGACGTACCTACCATCAACATACGAAGCTGACTGCTTTCCCAAAGTCTCTCCAAAAAGTGTATTGTCAGAGTTAAATTTCTGCTAAATTCATAGATGAAAAATGGTATATTGAGGTAGCTGTAATTAGTGTTTCTCTTATTACATGTGAGGATGTGCATATGTGTAAGTCCATGTGTTTAAAAGACCACTCAGTGATTTTTTTTAAAAAGAAGGATTTGTTGCCACCATTTAAAAATAAAGAGTTGGACCTTCAGTGCTTCCTATGATGGAGTAAATGGTATTGGTATTGCTAAAAAATACCCATGAAATCCGGACAAAATGCACAAAACAACTATTTGGAGGCATGAAACAGCTATTATCACAGTACTACAGTCCTTGGAGGTGAGGTACTTGAATTGAGTCCCACCTTCACCCATTAGTTTTCCCCCAAGGTCAGTTTTCTGGCTGCACCCAAGGAGGTGGAGCCCTGATTGGGAATGGCTTTCTCACTGGGCGGAGCAGACACATACCAGTGTTTGGGGCTCTAAGGCATCTGAATATGAGGGGCAGGCAAAGTTGGAAAAGGGGGGCCCTTGAAGAATGAAACCCAGGATTCTGCCTGGCTATTTCAGATAGTGTGAAAAAGGGTAATCATGTTGTGAATAAACACAACTATAGATCCCAGTCTTTGACTAAAATTGGTTTTTGGATGAGACCTATATGCTTTAAATAAACCTTATAAAGGTAAGTTCCCTTGATATTTAAGACATCCTGACCTGAATTGGCAGAGAACATCCTTTGGAAGGCTGAAAGCTGAAGAGACACTCCAGAGCTTAAACTATGCAGGGATACGCAGTTGGACTTTGGGCCAAGATAGAGTGATGAGACCTTGGTGAACACCCCAAGTCCTTAGTTGATACATAGAAACCCAAGCCCCAGGAGTAACTGCAAAACTAAAACAGACCACCCTAACAAAACCATAATAAAAAATAAGCCCTCATAAGACCAAGATGATACAATGATAACTGCTAACTAGGAAAAAAAAATCTCTGGAGAGATATAATTCAAAGCATCTGCAGTGTCATTCAGATTTAATCAAAGATTACTAAAGATGTTAAGAAGCAGGAAAGGTGACTGATAATGAAGAGCTAAGACAGCCAATAGAGGCAGATCTGGAGGTGATTCACATATTGGAGACACCAGATAAGGACTTCAAATAACATAATGGCCATGTTAATTAAAGAGGAAAAGATAGACAAAATGGGTGAAAAGTGGAATATTTCAACTGAAAAGTAAAGTTTATTAAAAAATCAAGTGAAAAATCAGGAGAATTCACATAAAACTCCAGACTTTCAACTGTTCTTAAAAAATGAAAGGGGCCTGGCCAGTATGGCTCAGTGGTTGAGTGCCAACCCATGAACCAAGAGGTCATCAGTTCAGTTCCCAGTCAAGGCATATGCCTGGGTTGCATGCTCAATCCCCAATACAGCATGCAGGACACAGTCAATCAATGTTTTTTGCTCATCAATGCTTCTGTCTTCGTATCCCCCTCTTTTCCTCTCTCTCTAAAATCAATAAAAACATTTTATTAAATAAAAGGGAATTTAATTAATTAATTAAAAATGAAAGGGACTGGCAGTTTGTGACTGCATACTTCAAAAGCAACAATCTACAGAGCCAACTAGCTGTTCCCATTTAAGATGTTGAGTATAGTCCCATTCATCCTGCTTTACTCATTTACCTGTCCCACCAGGCCCACGCTCTGCAATCATAGTTTCCTACCCAGGTTCCACTGCATAGAAAAAGGCAAGCTTCTGGTTCCTGTGGGACCATGTCAGTCATTGTGACTTGTCATGTCCTTAGAGTAGCATTTTCTGTGGTTCACACTTACTAAAGCGGCAGTAAGACTTGATTGAGGTGATAACATTATCCTTCTTTTGAAGTGGGTCTTTCTAAGACGAAGATGACTTATATTAGAAAATAACTTAATTTGTCTCCGTTTATCTCACTCCTATATTCAGTCTCATTCCGCCAAGAAAAACCATGACCCTGAGCAACAGAAAGCAGGTGAAAGTTCTTTTGGGAAATGATTTTAATGGTTCCATCATTTATTATTATTTAGGTTCAGTTCAATTTACTTTTTTTCTCTCACCTCTCTTCTGTGTATATTTTCTTTGCTTCCTACATTAAAAAGTTAGGTGACCATCAACCCATCAACTAATGTCAGGAGACAGGAAGTGGAGCGTGATAATGCACTTAAGTGTCTACTTTTTATAGTTTATAGGCCTTGCTGTCTTTCTTCCCACTTCAGATACATAAAGTTAGCAGTTGACTGTAGTGTTAACCAGTATAAAAGACTAGAAACTAAAAGCGAAAATGTGTATACTATGGAGTGGGTTGAATCATGATGGTTTTATCAAATTGCCTCTTTTTTGGGGGGGATGGGGAGTGTCTTTTCTCAACTTTTCAGTGGCCTCCAAAATGCTACAAATTCCCCATGTTTTGTCATTTCCAGGGCAGATTAAAGGGCTTAACAAATGTTAGATGACACTAATTGCAACCAGTGTTTATTCCCTATCTCAAGGCAGGAACACATAATTCAGATTTTATTTGTTAGAAATATGTGAGACAATAAACACAATTTAAGAAGACAGAAGAGAACCTGGTGCTGTGCTTGTCTAAATGTTAAATAATGTGGCCATGTAATCAGGGAGTGAGGTATGTTCTCATTTGTCAATGCAGTGACTTGGATGCTGTTTTGGGATGGGAGCCCACCTCTTATTCCATATTATTCCTTTTTATTTCACAAGCCCTAGGGTACTCAGATTGGAGAGCATTATTTCTGTAAAGCTTTATTTTCATTACTAACCAGTACCACTTAACTCTGTTGATTGGAATTTGGACCTTGATTTACCTGGTATATTCCTGAGTCAGAATATATTCCCCTCTGGGCTCTTACTCTCTGTTTATTTATGGTATATTCTATCTTATTTTCATAACTAGAGCCTGACCAAGAATTCTTTATGCCCTTACAGCTTTATAGTAAAGCGTAAAGAAATTTTGTTTTTCTAATCCCCTTTCTCTAGTTCCCTGTACTTTAACTTAAATACTGTTATGATAAGTTTATTGTAAAATAAATGCAGTGTGTTTGCAGTGTATGGCTGAGTTAATTTCTAACCCAGATTTCTGTCTAGGCTGCACTTTAGGTTATAATGTATTGTGAATTCCTCCTTAACAGAGCCTTCTGAAGGATTTTTCCTTCACTTTTATTTGGGAAACTTTACTTAATACAAGATCATTTCTAAAAAGGCAATTATCTTGAGTTTTAAGCAGTGGAGCAGAAAGAACTATTCCAGTTTCTCTGCTAGTTAAGCATTTAGCTTTATTTTTTACTAGAGGCTCAGTGCATGAAAATTCATGCACTGGAGGGGGTGGTCCCTCAGCCAGGCCTGCTCCCTCTCAGAGTCTGGGAGCCCTCAGGGGCAGGAGGCGACCTGGTGATCAGGGGAAGGCAATGCCCCATCACAGCTCTGCTGCTGCCACTGCTGGCAGTGCAAGCCTTGGCCGGCCCTGGTTACCTGAGCCTCAGGGGACCCTGGGTGGTGGGGCAGCCACCATCCGAGGCTTGCCTGCACCTCGGCCTGGCCTTGGGCAGCTGGGGGGGATGAGGGGACTGGTTGCTGCCATCTTGTGGCTGTGGGAGCGGTCGGACCCACCTGGGGGCGGGCCTGGCTGTGCTGTGCACCTGCTGCCCTGACGGGGCTGAGGGGACTGGGCACCGCCATCTTGTTGCTGTGAGCCCGCCAGCCCTGGTTATCTGCGCCTTGGGCTGGCCCTGGGCCGCCATCCGAGGCTTGCCTGTGCCTCGGGGCAGCCCTGGGTGGCTGGGGGGCTTAGGGGACTGGGGGACTCCGGAGGCAGGTGCGCGGACAATGTCCCCTCAGCCCCCCAATCCTGCTCTCACCCTCACCCCCTGTTGTCCACATCCATCACTTATGCTTATATGCTTGCATACAAGTCCTTTGGTTGGTCTCTCCCCCTCAGCCCCACCCTCCCCTGTCTTCCCTCTGAGTTTTGAACATCTGATTGATACTTCTCTGTCTCCACATCTGTTTTTGTTCATCGGTTTATTTTTAACATTTCTGTTTAAGTCTGCATAGGAAAATTGAGCTAGGCAGACGCCTTTAAACATCTGTGTGAAATAGGTAATAATTGCAGCACCTTTGAAATAAGGGCATATGTAGTATTTTAATGTTATTTGCTCCTCAAATGAAGTATTAGTAATAGTATAATATATCATGCACTCCTTCAATGGAGATTTTCAACTCACTTATCACATACCCCTCATATAGCTTCAAAACAAGAGCAAGTTTTTTTCTTTTTTTATCACAAGGTTATAAATACACCATTATTAAAGATATCAGTTGTATCATGAAGTCAGTGTGAAAATATGTTTATTTCATACAGCTATATCCATTTCTTTGATTTATATGTAAACTCTTTCAATAATAACCAGAATAATTTCTCAATCCATTTACATGGGTATGAAAACCATACATCTTGATCATAGGTGTGGCAGCAGGAAACCTTAAGTATGTGACATTCTATATATGGAGTCTTTTCCTTTCCTTGTACAGAATTATTTGTTTTACCACATTGCTGCCTTTCTTTGACACATTTACATTTATAGACATAGAGTATGAATTGCCTGATAAGATAAAAGCTTTTAAAAAGTACTATCAGTAGATTGATTTGGGATAGCCAAACAAATATATGGTCTTCAGAAATTTATTTCCAAGTTTTGTAGCAATAGAAGGTGACATATTATTTTGGAACTTATGATAGTTGTATAATACCATAAAATACTCAAAAGACCCATAGAATGGCAATAGTCAGACCTTTAAATGGTTTATTCTTGTGGTGGACCCAGAACTTCATTCGATAATCAGTGCCTTGTTGTTATGTCAGCTCTACATGGTTTGAATCCTAAGTCACTAATGTTAATTTATTTTGTTTTATGTTTTCAAGGTATTAATATTAGAACCAACCAAAATCTATCAGCCTTCGTATTTGTCTATCAACAATGAAGTTGAGGAAAAGACAATATCTATTTGGCACGTGCTTCCTGATGACGAGGTAAATTGTGCAATTATTAAGACAAGTATTAATAGTGAATGACTGTACCCTTTCAGCATTTATATGTTCCAGCAAAATTTGCATTAGTTAAGAAGAAATAGCGTGATTATATTATAAAATGTATTTATGCTAGGGGAGGGGCTGCTGGTTGAATCAACCACCATTGGCCAGTGATTTAATCCATCATGACTGTAATGAAGCCTCTGTAAAAACCCATAAGGCATGGTTCAGAGAGCTTCCGGATTGGGGAAGACATGGAGATGTGCGCAGAGTGGCCGCTTAGAGAGGGCACGGGAGCTCCGTGACCCTTCCCACATGCCTTACCCTATTCATCTCTTCCATCTGGCTGTTCCTGAGTTCTATCCTTTTATAATAACCCAATAATCTAGTAAATAAAATGTTTTTCTGAGTTCTATAGTCTGCTCTAGCAAATTAATCAAACCCAGGGAAGGAGTTATTGAAAGTCAGTTCTATAGCTCCATGATGGCATTATTCCAAGTGTAACTGACCAGAAACAAAATCAGTAATAAGTTGATAACATTGTTTTAAAGTGCCCATTGTTTTACTTACATTTTTTAAAAGTATATGGATATATATCACATGGCAGAAGTAGAGTAGTCCCCCAGTTGAAACCACAAAAACTAAAAGAGGTTAGGAGAGCATTATCTGGAAGAGGAGATTTTTCAAAGGCTTGATTGGAAAGAGCAAGGTTGCCCGAGGACACTTGGAAACAGAATGGGGCTAAAGGAATTAGCAATTAGCAAGGCCCCGGCAAATGAGTGGAGAACCAGAAGTCTTTAGAAGACAGAAAAAGAGCAGAAAGGAAACCAAAGATTTTGGAAAATGACTACTATTTCTAGCTTGTGGTCATTATTTTTCCTTTCTGGAGGTTCTTCATTCAGTAGAGTTAGCCTTGTATTGATTCTCTTATGTTTTGCAACAATTGTAGAGACAGTTTTTATGTTATGCTAAGAAATAAACATATTAGGATAGAAGTGAATGCATGAAGGATTAAAGGTTTTATTGTCAATTGTCTTTTCTTATCTTTTGATCAAGAAGAATTTCTGCATTTGCATATTGCTCATTTCCTGTTACCTTTAGTGCTAAAAATTCTTGTTGAAAATTTAAGCTTTCTTAAATCATTTAGTTTCTGTTTGAATCAGCCAATTTCTGTGCACACCCTAGTTTTATCCATTCATTAGCACTGCCATTTTCTCTGTTTTTTAAAACAGAAGTGCTACAATTGGAATGAGGACAAGCAATAAAAATAAGATCACTTTGTTATTATTGTTAGTTTAAAGCAACTGTAATAACTATAATAAAATAACAGATAAGCAACAGGTTTAATACATCTTATGTTAAAGCAGGAAATGGATTGTTTTTGTCATGGAATGTTTAAATTTTTTTTCTAGAAGTAGAATAACAGAGAATGTTGCTTTTCATCTATCATATTGATTTCGTTACTTCCTCTCTCAATGTTTTCATTCTAACTCTGGAATGAACAGTTACGTGAGCTAGTATTTAACCTCATTTTGCAACTTTAAAAACTTGAAGATCATTACCCCAATTCCCAAGAGTTCAGGGACTCTCCGAGAGTTACTCTACATTCAGGAGCAAAATTAATTGAAATTCCAATCTTTTAACTGTTCTCCCTTTGTTCAATAGATGGTTACCACTTAAAGTAAGTAAGTTAGTACTTGAAGAAAGAAAAGTCTGCATGTGCCCATGAAAGAAAAACCTAGATTGAGGAACAGAGAAGTTATTTGCAAGATACTTTAAATGCTTGCTATTTAGAATTCCCCTCCGTTTAGGTTTGGAGATTAAGCACTCCCATCCTCTCTGAAGGCTGCTCAGACAACAGGGACTCGGTGGAGTAGGATGTGCTGACCTTCCTCCAGCTCCATCCAGCCCATGGCCACTCTGAGACGACCTAGGAATGTATGAGGGGAATATGTTTGCCTAGGACTATAGATTTTAATGATATGATGTTCTCATCCCTCAAAGATACTTTTAACTACAAACCCCCCAACTAAAAGTGGCTTAAACAATAAGGAAATGTTATCTTATATTACAAGAACTTCTGAGGTGGGTTCATTCTGGGGCTGATTTCAGTGGCTTGACAGTGTCAGAGTTCTGAGTTGGCTTTTCTGTATGCTCTTGGCTTTTCACTCATGGTCTTAAATAGCAGCTCCAGCATCACTTGACACAGACCAAATCCCAAGGAGGGTCAGGCTCTTTCCTTATACAAAACGTTGCATCGGGTGACCTTGCCTACACCAACCACCAGCAAGGGAAATGGACTTACCATGGCTGATGTAGACTAATCAGTTTCATTGTCACCTGAGCCTGAACAAAATTCATATTTTGTTAGCAAAGAAGAGAGGGAAGGGCCGTTGCCTAGGGCACCAGTAATGTCTCACAGAATGTAATTCCTGCCACCTTATCTCAATATTAATTCCTAGCTCCTGTTCTTGCCCTGGCTGGGGCACGGGATCTGAGGCCAAGCAGTTCCTAGAAAACAGTGCTTGGGCTGATTAAATAAGGTTGAATGTTGGTTTGGGGCTTGTTGGTGTTAAATATCACTCCGGCTCTGCCTCTGGTGTCCCTTTCCCCCTGACTCCCAGAGGGGCCCTGGAGCCTTTTACCTCACCTGTTGGCTTTGTGGCTCACCAGCGCCTCCATGTGGAGAGTCCACTAGCAAGGGAGGTGGGGAGAGGCCTTACTCCCTATCCATCTCGCTCAGGCTCTGGGCTTTGCTCCGCTGAAAGGGAAAGTTCCCTGGCAGCACTAGAACCTTTTAGGAACCTAACATTCTGAAAATGCTGTGCTCCTTTCCTATAAAACCAGCCCAATCAACCTGGGAAATCTCTCCTTGGCTGCTCCCAGAGCAGGGCTGATGGAAGATAGGTTTTACCAGCGCCGTCTTGCTGGAGTCTGCCAGTTGCTGTGTTCAATTGCAGGTTTGCACGCTGCTCTATCAGCTCTTCACTCAACCCGCCTCCTTCTCCTGGGGTGGCCTTAGGACGAAACTGAGGTGCAGGCTGTACGTCTAAGGCTGCCTTGTGCGCAAGTGGTGTGTGTGCAGGTTAACAGCTGCAGCTCCCGGGGCGCATATACTTAGGTCACCTGAGGCCAACGGGATTTAGAAGCAATTTCCAAATTACCAGCTGAAGCTGCAGGCTGCTATTTTATTTTAACTCCCCGCGCACCCTGGTTCAGAGAACCACATTTCCAGGAGTCCCTTTCTCTGGTCTCTGTCTTTTCTGGGCGATGTGCACTGTAGCATTTGCTCTGTGTAATTCAGGTCACATCCCCATGACCTGATTAATGTGCATTGAAACTACTTTTTTAGTAAATCTACTTTAGGCTTGACAGAGTCTATTTTTATTATAAGTTACATGATCCTAGCAAATAACTAGTTGCTATGAATATAAATTGTGGCTTTTTGAGTTGCTTTGGCCAGAAGGAGAATTCTGGGCCACATCAGAGCCACAGCTTCTTACCCATGTCATTGGCTCAGCCAAGACCTCAATCCTCTGGCAGCATTTTAAGTAGGTGGGTAAGAGCTTGTTTTCTTGGTTGTTTTACATTTAAAGAATTGACTTGCAATCTGAATTGGCTACTCTACAGTACTTGCTAAACTTGGACACAGGTAGCAACTACTTTATTTCTACAAAAATATTTGTGGTTAATTCTGTATTTTTGTCAGACATATTTTTATAGGGAATGCGACCCATCTTGTAATTTAGTTAACTTTGAGAGATATGCATTTAATATTAATTTTAACTTAGCTTCAGTAATAATTCAAGAAATTAAATCCCCGCAGTTTTTTTCATCTGGGCCCTGCAAATCACCTGTGTTTATCATATGATAATCAAATGTTTTATGTTCAAACTTTATTAGTTTATTGAATCTTACATAAATTAGGTGACAACACACCCTAGCTATGATGGACATTATATACATGTGTGTATACACATGCGTATTTGCTGTACCATTTTCTGAAGAAATAGAACCACCTATTTAGTTCAAAATATTAACTAAAGATAATTCAGAAATAGTTATCTTCAAACCCTTGTAGAGATTTTATTTATTTATTTATTTATTTTAAAATATATTTTATTGATTTTTTTACAGAGAGGAAGGGAGAGGGACAGAGAGTTAGAAACATCAATGAGAGAGAAATATTGATCAGCTGCCTCCTGCACACCTCCTACTGGGGATGTGCCCGCAACCAAGGTACATGCCCTTGACTGGAATCAAACCCAGGACCCGTCAGTCTGCAGGCCAACGCTCTATCCACTAACCCAAACCGGTTAGGGCGAGATTTTATTTATTAATGTTTTTTCTTTTTCAAAAAAGAAATACTGATTGACTATAATAATTTTAAATTAACCTTGATCACTGATTTTTATCTTTAAAAATTAATGCACAACATTTGTTAGGTTTATCTGCTAAGAATAAAATTTTAGAAATTAATGAGACTAATTCTCCTAGACTCTACTGGAGGTGTTTTATTGAAATAAATAAATTATTAAGTAAACATCACCCTTGTGGCTTGAGAATGAATTGTAGTTTCCACTCAGATACAAACCTCAGTTCTTGAATGACTCCCATCTCAAACAATTCAGTTCTCGACCAAGTTGTCCGCAGAAAAATGTCTCAGTTGTTGAACAAAACTGGTTCTTGACCCAACAACCCTTTCATGCTGACACCTCAGCATGACAACAAAAAGCATCTCTCAGGCGACAACATGACAAAAAGCGTCTCCCAGGCGACAAAAGAAGAAAATGCCCAAATATGTATCAGTCTGCCACTAAACCTTGCATTGTTAACATCTCAGGAAATTGTGCTGTGAATATTTTCCTGATTTTTTGCTTTTATTGCTGGCAAAATAGACAATTAGCACAATTTTAAAACATAAAGATTCTTGGCCATCAAGAGTGCTGATGTTGCTAAGGGTGTGAAAGTGCTCACAAAACAGCAATCACAGGCAATTGAAGTGCTAGAAAAATTGTTGTTGATTTGGATAAACGAAAAGCAGTTAGCCGGTGATAGCATGTCAGAAGCAATGATGTATGCAAAAGCGAAGATTCTGCACGCTGACCTCCTGAAAGACACCCTGGAACAACTGCCAAAAGTGATTCACGTGAGGCCAGTAGCGGGTGGTCTGATAAATTTAAGAAAAAAGTGTTTTATTTACAGATTAAACAGTACATTAGACATGCACTGTATATCAGTAAAGGTTAAAATGGAATAATTTGGAGTCTGGAATGGATTAATTCAACTTACATTACTTCTAATGGGAAAAATGATTTGGTTTTCAAGTAAGTCATTTCAAGAACAGGCTTCCAGACTGAATTAAGTTCCAGAACCAAGGTTCCACTGTAATTTATTTGTGAAGAATTGTACGTGAGGGAAAATTACTCTGGGTATCTTATTTTAAAAGAATAAAACAAAATCACTGTTGTTGTGTTATTTTAATTTGGATTACTGAACATCTTTTGTTCTTTCCTTATGTTCTAGAATGGCATACATGAGTGGAACTTTAGTGCTTCTTCCATCAGGGGAGTGAGGTAAGTCTCCTTGGAGTATTTCATTTTCTTGGAAGACATTTTTCTAGAATATGACTGTCTTGAATAGGACTTCTAGTCATGATTAAAAATGCAAAGAACCTCAGCAATCCTTCTATTAAATGAAATGCTCAACCTTCTTTAGACTCCCTATCTCCATGACTGAAAGATTTGCAAAAACTTTCAAAGTTACGTGAACTGACTCTGTGCTGGTCACTAACTTAAAACATGATGACTGATGGGTAAATGGGATCTGTGGGTCAGAATCAAGGTGCAGATAAGAGTGAGCTAAGTGAGTTCTCCTTAGATGGATCCCAAACACCTTCTACCAGATTGTGTCCCGTAGCTCACATTAGTGGGGTGTGGTTATAGGGAATTCGTTTTATAAAAAACTTTTTCTGAGGTTCCCATCAATGAAGTGTTCTGAGATTAGAGTGACTCACTTCACTTTGGCTCAGCTCTGACATTGCATCATAATGCCATTGGCTCAGGAAATGCCATTTCCTGGGATTTAGAAATGAGGTGGTTTTGGTTTTGGTTTGTTTTTTTTTCACAATGAAGAGCCACCAATTAGATGTTTAAATGCTTGTTCTATAGAAACTCATGCTAGACCAACTCTTAAGAATTTTACACCAAATTAGTTGTGATTACTGATTTTTCTCCCCACATAATAGCAACGTGGGGGGGGGAAAGTATCTGAAGGCCACATATGCAATACCCTGTTGCTGTTGGCATAATAGTAATTGGTTTTGTTGGAACATGAACTGGTAATTGGTGTTTGCCTGGTAATACCACCTGTTACTTTAGGAATGGTCTGAAGAGAAACATGCAAGATTGTGGGTTGACTCATTATATATCTTTCCAATTAATGCCTTCTCAACTAAAGCTTTATACTCTTAATATTTGATTTTTAAAACAGGTCATTAGTAAAACACTCATTATTTATAGCTGCATTTTTAAGCAATCCACTTAGTATGGTAAACATACATTTCACTTTATCATATCTATTTTCCAATGAATTAGTTTTCTTTAACTAGGCATGGCATCCCTACATAACCTTTGTTGTGATTTACGCATATACACAGAATGCTTACATGAGGCTACTGCTGGCTTATATATTGGGAAATGTGAGTTCCAGTGTGTGACTTCAAAGAAAGCTAACTCTCCTGGGTTTTCTCCTCTATAAAGAGATGAGAAGTTATAGAAGAAAATCCAACTACTTTAGCAGTTTGTCTTACATCACCTCAGAACTTGCTCAGCTCAGTCAACGGGCATTTATTGAGCACCAACTGTGTGTCAAATGTTGAGTTCTATTTTTTAAGAATACAAAACACTAAGACCTCAGCTCTGCTCTCTAAGAGCTCTAGGTGCAGCAGGGGAACAGACACTTCACAATTAGTGATAATGCGGAGTGAGATGAGCAGTGATGGAACTATGTTCAAAGAAAAGAGGCGCAAAAGGAAGTCTTTCTATATAAGACAGAAGTAGGGAGGAGAGTTAGGCCTAAGCTTGGTCTTAAATGATGAGTAGAATTTATTTTAAAAGTAAAAAATAATATGCATTCTGAACTGAAGGAACAGCAGATGCAAAGGCATAAAATAGGGATTAGCAAACTACACCCCCAGGCCAAACATGGCCCACCACCTGTTTTTGTAAATAAAGTTTTATTGGAACTCAGCCTTGTTCATTGTGTATTGTCTAAGTCTGCTCCAACAGCAAAATTGAGTAATTTGGCCCACAACACCTGAAATATTTACTCTCTGGCCCATTACAGAATATATTTGCCAACCCTTGGTTGTAAAACAGCATGGCCTGACTGGTAATCTCAGAACTGTTCCAATTGCTGTGAAGTAAGCCACTTGCTTAGTCCAAACCAAGTGATGTTCCACAGTCACTTCCTTTCTGTAAAATCTCTACAACGAAGGAGGTGCTTTTCCTGCCTCCACACATTGCCCTTCTAGCTTAGGAAGCATTTTGTTGTTCTGCAGACCTCAGAGGAGCGGAGCACCAAGGTCAGTCAGCCAGTGGACACTTAGGCTGGTCCTCCTGGCACAGGGTCAGCGCTGCAGAGGGCAGGACACCTTTCTCAGGCTGAGGTGGAGGGACACAGCTTCTGTGTGCGCACCAAACCCTAGAGCAGTGATGGCGAACCTATGACACGCGTGTCAGAGGTGACACACGAACTTGTTTTTTTGGTTGATTTTTCTTTGTGAAGTGGCATTTAAATATATAAAATAAATATCAAAAATATAAGTCTTTGTTTTACTATGGTTTCAAATATCAAAAAATTTCTATACGTGACACGGCACCAGAGTTAAGTTAGGGTTTTTCAAAATGCTGACACGCCGAGCTCAAAAGGTTCGCCATCACTGGGCTAGACTCTAGAGGGCTGGGAAGAGGGGCTGGAGCCTCACCAGACGACCTCGCCCACATTGGAGGAGATGAGGTAGCGGATGAATTGCTTCATGTTGCTGTAGATGGCCCGGCCTTCCTCCACTGCAGCCACAATGGAGGCAAAGTTGTCATCCGACAGTACCATCTCTGCTGCTGACTTGGCCACGGCTGTGCCGGAGCCCATGATTTCTGATCAACCACAAGCTATTCTCTGTGACACCAGCTGAGTATCCTGCAATTTAATTCATTTCTAATACTATCTATCTGGAGAAAGTGTCTGATCTCACAGGTTAAAGGCTCAGTCCCATGAGACTTTCTGCCCCCACTGTAGATGCCAGTCGCAAACCCAGGGGATCTCACCTGTGCATCTGACCAACTGGCTATAGATCAGAGGTTCCAATGGCTCCTGCTTGGGTTTGATTGGTTTGCTAGAGCAGAACACAGAACTCAGGGAAATACTTACGTTTACCAGTTTAGTGGAAGGATGTGATACCCGGTACAGATGAACAAATAGGTAGATGAAAAGATGTGTAGGGCAAGGCCCGGAAGGGTCCCAAAGCACAGGAACATCTGTCCCCATGGAGTTGCAGTGTGTTACCTTCCTGGCAGGCACGTATTTGCTAGTCTGGAAGCTCCTTGAACCCTGTACTATTGGAGTTTCATGGAGGCTTTATCGCATAGACATGATCATTCATTATTGTTAGCCCTTTTCTCCCTCTGTGGAGGATGGAGGGTGGGGCTGAGAAGTCCAAGTTCCTAATTATGACTTGTTCTTTCTTGTGACCAGCCCCAATCCAGGTGCCCATGCAAAGTCTCACTAGAACAGCAGTTCTCAACCTGTGGGTCGCGACCCCTTTGAGGGTCGAATGACCCTTTCACAGGGGTCGTCTAAGACCATTGGAAAACATACAATTACATATTGTTTTGTGATTAATCACTATGCTTTAATTATGTTCAATTTGTAACAATGAAAATACATCCTGCATATTAGATATTTACATTATGATTCATAACAGTAGCAAAATTACAGTTATGAAGTAGCAACGAAAATAATTTTATGGTTGGAGTCACCACAACATGAGGAACTGTATTAAAGGGTCACGGCATTAGGAAGGTTGAGAACCTTCCTAATCGCATAGATCATGTCTATGCGATAAAGCCTCCATGAAACTCCAATAGTACAGGGTTCATGCGCTAGAACAAAAGATGCTGCCATTTCTCTTATCACTTAGGGATTGTTCAAGGGTTTTAGGAGCCCTGTGCCAGGGATGGGGGTCAAAGACCAAATATTAGAACAAGAGATGCCTGCAGTGTTCTTATCACTTAGAAAACTATGAGGGTTTTAGGAGCTCTGTGCCAGGAACTGGGGGCAGACCAATATATATTTTCTATCATCTCATTGGTACAGAGATAGAAGAAAGATTCTATCTGGTAGGTAACCTGTTCTTCCCTTGGGCTGGCAGTGCGCAGCACGACCTGCCTGTGAGAGCACCAGCTCTCACAGTACCTGTTCACAGTGCCTCCCTTACTGTATGTCTGGAGACCATTGGCATCCCCTTGGAACGGATAGCAGCACGGCTAGTGTTCCACGGGGCAAATCTGTTTCTCGCTTGTAATTATTTTTCTTGGCTCTGAGTTGGCCTTGAGAAAAAAGAAAACTTTATAAGAAGAACTCCTGAAGGAAATGTCTCCAACACCAAGGTGGCTTCTGTCACAAACATATAAGCTCGCCTGTTCCTGGTTCACATTAGTGTTTTGCAGATTATATCTATGATATTGAGGTGCTCAGGCAGAAGATTTGAGTCACTGAGATCAAGTGTTGTAGTGGCCAACACTGTATCAAATAGTCACCTCAGAATTTAGAGACACTATTCTAGAATATGGGTATTACTTTAGGTCCTATTTAAATAAAGTATCAACAGCAGCAAAACAATAATAGCTCATTTTAATGAGTGTACTATGCTAAGTAAGCACTTTACAGGTATACCTCAAGTCATCTTCACAACCACCTAAGAGACTGATAAGTATATCCCCCATTTTATAATTAAGGGATGAGTCTGAGTTGGAGGAGCTTAATCATATAAATACTAGCAGTCTTGGTCTGATATCCAAGTCCATTTTCCTAACCTTGTCATTTCTATGACCTTGTCTAGCCTTTCTGTTCTAATTCTATACCATGTATATAGTACTGTCTACATGCAGTGGGGCATGAGGTTGGAAATTTCTGGAAGAGCCTACCAACCTGTTTTCTTTTTGAAAAATCATATTTTCACTCTGTTCCTGATGATTGTTTTTATTGCCTGACATTCTTAGGTCCTATCTTTTTTTTTTTTTTTGCTCTGAAATCACTTTGGAACATACTTGTTTTATGTATTATGAGTGACCACATTCCAACTTCCATCGTAGGTTTTTTGAAATGGTGAACAACATTACCGAAGAGAAGGGGAGAGGTGTGGAGGAAGGAGACTGTGAAGGTGACTCCCTGGAGGTAATGACTTAGGTTTCCTTTGTTAATTTTACCTAAGTTTCTCCAGGACTGGTTTTAAAAAGTGAACTATTTTAAGCTTTACTGAGGAGAGAGAGTGTTGTGGGGGAGGGGCATATGACTTCTATCCTTTGCATTCCATCAGAAAAATTTCAAATCTGTGATGTAGAATGGCTTCTGCAGTATTCCCGACGATCTGGATAGTTTGTACAGTAAATTCACACATACTTGTTTTAAGTATTTTGGCTTAGTTGGCCATGATGCCACAATTCTTGATATTGCTGGCATTCTTTTCATGGGTGTTCTATCAGCATCACGTTGATGAAAGGACCCAGTGATGTTTTGGGCTGTGAAGACGATAAGCCCTGCCTTGGCCCTCCCTCTCACTCAGTACCCTTCCTGGCCAGAGCACTTTACCATATGCGTTACTAAACAGCCTTAATTTATATTTTTGCATAATTTATGATAATTCCATTATATCTTTTATTACCTTTCTTAGGTGCTTTCAACCTTCTTAATTAAAATTATTTTTTCAGTATTCTGAATATTTTGTTAAAATGAGCTAATTTCATTACTGTAAACTAAACTCGAACTTCAGCCTGTAAATGACATATCAAAAATAATTCCTCCACTTCCCATTCCTTTCAGTGTAAACAGGAAAGATTACTTTGCTGATTAAGATTTTTATGCTGAATAATTATTATCTGATCTTTACTTCAATTTGAGATGGAATTTAAATTGTTTCAATATAATTCCTGAAGCTTTTTAGGCCCCTGGGCCCAAAACAAAATTAAAATGTTGGAAAAGTCAGACATTTTTTAATGTTTTTAACTTCACTTAGAGTGGTGTCAACATTTAGTGAATATTAGCTATTAATGTGGTCCTGTAAGCCACAAATTTGAAGCTAATCCTTCAAATTTTTGATGTTTGAAAACTTTTCATTCAAAGCCCAAGTTAATATTTGCTTTTATTTCTGATTTGAATAATCAGCTTTCTTTGAAGCAATCCAATTGTGGGAGAGATTTAGCCTCTTTGGGTCATGGTCAGAACCCCCTCTGATCATACCTGGCTCTTGTGAGATCCCCGTGCTGGGACAGGAACCTTGAGTTCTGGTTTTAACTTTGCAAGCAGCCAGTTTTATAACTTTGGACAGAATTTATACTCCCACTGGGCTGAGATGATCTCATTCCTTACATGAGAGTTGAACAGGAAGATCTTAAATATCCTTTCTTAGCTCAAGTATTTTATAATTTTCAAGATTAGTACAGACTGTACAAGGTTTTTCAAATATAGCTCAATATCACTTTGGGAGGACTTTTCTATTTTTAAACAGAAAGAGAAACAACTTCTTTTGATTCCAAGCCATGTTTTTTGACTCAAGGCTGTATTTTGACATGAAAGGGTTATGAACCCATATTGTAAATAATTTAATGTATTAATAAGTTTATATTGAAATCACTGAACAATTGAATACAGTTCATCATTGATTAGATTACAATTAATCCTAAGGGTTCTAACACTTATCAGCTGTGGTCCCCATTTTTGTTCTCCCAGCCATCCATAGCTTCCCTACGAGCAGGATATCTGCCCAATAACCCAAACCAGACATCTCAGAGAAACTGCCACTCCAGCCAGTCTTACCCCACACCCAGTCTTTCCTCCAGCCCCTTCATTTCATTCTATCACTCCCCCATCTCGGGGCCTAATCTCTCTCCTCTGTTAATAAACGTCTCTGTCATCAGCAGACAGATCTCTCATGTGGATTTAATCCTGTGACTCCCCTAATTATAACGATGTTCTTAACTGTCTGGCTATACCTTACCCTTTCCTTTGCACCCTACGGTATGGCAGTGCCAAATTCTTTTCTGTTTCCCAGACAGCCTGTCTTTGGGCTTGACATGCAGATGCCCAACTCCACATGCTTTTTCTGCTCTGTCCCACTTGATTGGCTGCATCCTAATTTTTGAGATCCAATCCGTGTCATTTTTTTCTTTGAATCCATTTTCAACACTTCTTCTCACTTTGCTCTACTCTCAAAACATTTTTACCCACTCCTCTGCCCTAGCTCTTCTTATTGCATTGTAATTTGGTAGTCTGCACCGAACTCTTAACATCCCGAGGCTAGATCATGGCTCTATACCCCTTTTTAAAAATAATTCTCACCTGAGGATATGTGTGAGAGAGAGAGAGAGAGAGAGAGAGAGAGAGAGAGAGAGAGAGAGCTAGATATTGGCTATCTCTTGTACACACCCTAACTGGGGAGCAAACCTGCAATCTAGGTAGATGTCCTATCTGTGAATCAAACTCACAACCCTTTAGTACACAGAACGACACTCCAACCAACTGAGCCAGCTGGCCAGGGTTCTACCTCTTTTAATCACGTAGCCTCGCATGGTGCCGGGTATCCAAGCAGAAGTACAGTCAGAAGGCTTTGAAAAGTTTGAAGCTGGGGGTGGGTATGACAAAACCAGAATTGTTTAAACAGTATCTCAAACTCAGGAGAGGCTATGGATTGAAGGGGGAAGAATAAATGCTGGTAAATTGGCTTGAAGTTTGTTTAATCAATATTAAATCAATGAAAGAATGAATACCATAATCAAGCTGAATACCATAATCTGGCCATTATCAACCCATTCTCTTTTCATCTCCTTTTCTTATTTCCTTGAAAAAAAATGACTGAGGTACTTCTGGTGCTCAATATGAAATATGTTGTGTCTCCCTCTTCACTCCTCCCCCAAACACATAGACATAGTCTCCCTCCATCTGTCCCTCCTCTGTCTCCCCCCCTCCTTCCTTCCCTCTCTTTCCCCCAACATCCTTCTTTTTCTGCATTTTCACCTGTTTTATCAAAATGAGCTTATGATTGAAACAAGCCTGAGAAGTCACGGCAGCTGGCCCTGTGCATCTGTTTATACATATTTGCCAGTGTGCATAGTTGCCAGTGACCCCTTTGGGGATGGAGTGGGGACAAGCGAGATACTAGGAAGGTTTTCCTTTGACTCAAGCATCTGCAGGACGATGGAATACCTTACCATCTCCTTTCCTGATGATTTGCCTCACAAACAGTGAATTAGAATTCATTTAAATCAATTCGGAATCATCAAGTTTCTTCAGCAGCCTTTTTCTATTTTGGTTCATATCTAAAGCTCAATACCCAGTTACCACACTGTCTGAGGAAATATGTCACTGAGAGTGTTGTATGAAATGAGTGTCAATTTGTCACCCAGTCATTCATTCTGTTGGCAGAAGGAAAGTTTTTCCTCCACCAACTTAGGTTCAGTGATGGGGACCTGCAGATTAACTGGCAAAGACACATTAACAGGAGAAAAGATCAAGTTTATTCATGTACATGGGAACATACAAAGAAGTGAACAGCTAGAGTTAAGAGCTTATTTATTTATTTTACCCAGAAAAATCCTTAATAGGACTTCAAGGGAAAGAAAGCACGTGGCGGGAAACTAAGTAGAAGCAGGTGGAAGGTACAGAAGCTTTTGGAAAGGTTTTGTCTTTGTAATTTCTCATCCAGGTATGAGTGGTCCTAAACCTCCCAGAGAGAGGTTATGGCCGCTGTATTTTCAAGAGACTTTGCTTAAGTCAGCACAAGAAGTTTAGATAAGGGTTTTTCTGCAGCTGCTACTTACTTAGATGTTTTCATTCAGCTTAAAATAATGGTCATACCGCATTTGTGTCCAAGTGTATCTCACCAATTCACTCAAATATTTATTGGACACCTACTATGTGGTAGGCGCTGTTCTAGGTGCTGGGGACACAGCAGAGATCAACAGAGGAACATCCCTCATTGAGCTTACATTCTAGTGAACAATAAACAACATGAATAAGTAAAACTTGTAGTATGTTTGTAGAAAAAGCAAGGAAAGCATTAGGAAGTTAGTTTAATGGGGTGTGCAGTTTTAGGCAAGGCAGCCAGGGAAGACTCCCTGACAAGGTGATAGTTGAGTAAAGATTTGAGGGAGGAGAGATCAATCAAACCTGCTATGTGCACCTGCAGCATTTTTAGCATTCTATTGATATTATTAGTAATGATTTCTGTTTTTCATATTTCTTTATTAAGCAGGTGATACTGAAAATTAGCAAAGGTACTATTAGGGTCGTTGAGGTGACCACTCCGTTGATGTGATGAAGTACAGAGGGAAATGCATGGCTTTTTCGAAGGTTGCTTTACTGTCGGTCCCTTGACCATGCAAGGACTGCGTGCATCACCACTTTGTCATTTGCCATCCTAGGCTGATTCTCTTTCCAGCACCAGTTTAGATTGCTCTGGGCAGGCAACAATAGAGGGATGATTCCAGAAGTATTCCCATTGTTGCTTCAAAATGCAGCCGTTTCCCTTAGCGACAACCCGATTTGCTTGCCTATTGCCATAGAAATAAAATGCAAAATACATAAGCAGTGTAATTCTACCTTTTTTTAAAAAAAAAACATTCCTTTCCCTGCTGCTCCTCTTTTTCTCCGTTTTTGTCATTTAACATGCCCTGCCTTCCCTTGGCTCTTGGCCCAGCTCTGTTCTACTTTTCTGACCACCATGTAGATAATTCTCTGTCCTCTATGGGCCAGGCAAACTAGTAAGACCTCAAATTTTTCTTCTTACCTAAAGCCTTTCAGTGGTTTTATTCTCCTGGTAGAGTGTGAAATACTTTAATAGCACCAGAAGCTGAAAAACAAAAGAAAGATTAATTAGATGTGATAGGTACTGATACTAATCATACTTATCTCTAGAGTCAGTGAAAAACCGGATTTAGTGGGTAAAAGAATCCAAGTGGGCTTTTGAAAAAAACTCTTAGGGATTTAAATACATAGTCGCCACTGTATTTGTACCAGTGGGGACTATGTATTTAAACATGAGCACATAATCTGGCTTATATTGCGAATGTCTATTTTTTGGTTCTTAAAGCTGCTTTTTTCAAATTTCATCTTATTGTTTCCCTTGTATGGCCATCTGCTAAAATAAGGAAAAATGCTCTTGGAAAAAGTTGATGTTAAAAATGTAGAATGCAACTAACGTTTCAATATTCTCTCTCCATTTTTCCTTTTGTAGTATGACTATGAATATGACGAAAATGGTGACAGAGTCGTTTTAGGAAAAGGCACTTACGGGATAGTCTATGCAGGTCGAGACCTGAGCAACCAAGTCAGAATCGCTATTAAGGAAATCCCAGAGAGAGATAGCAGGTATAGTAATTGTGGCTAATAAAGAGCTGTTTGCTAAGGTGTTTGGGGTTGTCTGTAGCCTTTTAGAGAATATTTTGGTGAAACTCTGTCTGAGAACTCTGTGGTTTTAATGAGCTCCCTGTGAGGTTAAGCTGCTGCATCATTCAGTGATTCAGTTACAAGACTGGCGGGGAAAGGACAGCATCTCTGAGGAAACAGAACTCTTAAAGAGTGGAAAAAAGAACGGCCCTGTGTGTGTTGGGCCCAGGTTTTGTCAGAGAGCAGACAGTGGTTTATTATAGGGCACATGGGGAACCAGCACTATCTGAAGCTGTTCTAACCAGAGGTTCCAGTTTCCAGTCCAGCAGTTAAAGGAGGTTGGAAGTCATACTATTAGGGTCATTTTAACAACAAATAGAAAGCTAAACACACTGAGAAATCAGCAGCTCTACTTAAGGGTTATTGGTCAATATTAATGTTAAATTTGCTGGCTTATAAATGTTAGAAATCAGTTTTTTTTAATGACTAACTCAAACCATTCTGTGTGTTGAGTCATCAGAGAAGAAAGGTCACAGGACAAGCCACTGCCCCCGCCCCCCCGCCCCGCCCCAATGCCCCAAATTGGAGAGACAGTCACACTGTTGGGAGTTTTGCTTTCAGGAGCACAACTAGATCCTCACAGAAGAAAATCCCCTCATACTTCTGAGAGGGGTTGGGGGGAAAGGAATCAGTTTGAAATACACCAGAGCATTCTCTTCTTAGCAAGGCCTGCCCTCAGGAGAAAGCATTTTACCAGGGCCTGCCTATTGGGGTGTTATCAGAGCCTAACCAACCTGGGAGAAAGGAAATAACCAACTCCAGCCCCTTCTAGCCATCCTGGCCCACCTCAAGGGTTTGGGGTGGACCGAGAAGCACTGGAGCAGTTCACAGCCCAGTGGCCCAGGCTCACTAAAAGACTAGAATGCTTCACCTGTTATACCATGCCTGGTTTTCAACAAAAGTTACAAAGCATACTAAAAGGCAAAAGGCACAGTTTGAAGAGACAGAGCCAGGATCAGAACCGTCTCAGTATGGCCATGATGTTGGAATAATCAGACCAGGAATGTAAAACAGTTATGATGAATATGCTAAGGGCTCTCCTGGGTAAAGTAGGCAGCCTGTAAGAACAGGTGGCAATGTCAGCACAGAGGTGGAAATCCTAAGAGAGAACCAAATAGACATACTAGCGATAAACCAGTAACAGAAACGAAGAGTGCATTTGATGGGGTGGATGCCTAGCTCAGTCTCTATGCTTGAGGCTCTCAGTAGAATATTCCAAAACTGAAAAGCTAGGAGAACAGACTGAAAAAGAGAGAACAGAATATCCAAGACTGTGGGACAACTACAAGAGGTGTAACACATGCCTGCCTAGTGGGAATAACAGAAGGAAAAGAGAGAGAAAAGAACAGGAGAAATATTTAAAGAAATGGTATGAACCACACATAGTGGGGACTTTTTTGGAAATAAGAAAGTTGTTCAGGGGAGAAACAGCTCTGGTAACACTGTTGCTCCTGGCTCTAGTGTTCTCTTCTACCATTGCCTTCTCCAACCACTAATTATCTCTTCTCCCAATCTCATGATTTCTGCTGCCCTCATGGCTTTTGTTGTGTCTTCTCTCCATAAGATCCTGCTCCTACAAAAACTATATGTTTTCCATGTGTTGTGCATTCACACTCTGAAAGAGAAAGGGTTGGATTGAGTCCAGTGTTACTGAAGTCCTTATTTGGCCAGACTTCAATGCCAGGCTGCATCATGGACTTACCTAGGCGTCCTTGAATCCACTTTTCTGTGTCCATGGTAACAGGGTCATATGTCCAGTTTTCTTTAGAAAGGACACTCTCCTAAGCTTCCTGGGTCATCTGTCTTCCCAGCCTCTCCACTTGTAAGTCTAAAAGGCACTTCCAGGTTAAGATGGTCAAAACTGAATCACGGGTTTTTACCAAACCCAAATGGACTCTACTTGAAGTGTTCCATGTCTCAGTTAAGGTAACCCCATCTATCCAGCTGTTCAGGCTAAAACCTAGGATTCGTTTGGATTCCTCTCTGTCTCTCTCACTTTGCATCAACTCCATCAGCGACTTGTACTATTGTCTCAACCTCTGCAGCCTCTCCTGAATTTTTCCACTGCCATCACAACTCCAGGCCTTCAGGTCCCTCACCCAGACTCCCTTCTGCAAATACCTTGTAACTAGACTCTGCTTCCACTGTTTCCTCCACCTCAACTCCATCCCTCCTCAGAGAAGCCAAAGATCTTTCTGAAGTTGAAATCACACCTTGTCACTACCACTTAAAACCCTTCAATTGTGCCCTAGCTGATTGGGCCGAGTGGATAGAGTGTTGGCCTGCAGACTAAAAGGTGCCCGGTTGGGTTCCAGTCAAGGGCATATGCCTGGGTTGCGGGCTCCATCCTCAGTAGGGGGCGTTCAGAAGGCAGCTGATCAGTGTTTCTCTCTCATCATTGATATTTCTGTATCTCGTTCCCTCTCCCTTTCTCTCTGAAACCAATAAAAATATATTTAAAAAAGAAAAGAAAAAGAAACCATTTCCAAGCTCTTGAAAAAATAAACACCCTTCAGTTGTAACCAGCGTAAAACCAGAACCCTCAGCATAGACATCTGCCTCCCTCTGTGGCCTCACCTCCTCCACTACAGCCACACTGCCCTCTCCCTATCCATCAAGCGCACCAAGGCTCACTCCCCAAAACCCAGCAGGATTGCCTCATTTTATCATTTAGTTCTCAGTTCAAATTTTAAGCCATCAGAGAAGCCTTCTCACACTACCCCAGGCTGAAAAAGACACATGAAACCTGGGTCCCAGCTCCCAGATCTCTTTCTGCCTCTCCATCTTCAGGGTGTGACTTTCACAGGCGACCTCTCTGCCTCCAGATCCACATTCCAGGCAGGAAGAAGAAAAAAGGAGATAAACTTTTCCAGAAATATCCAGCATACTTTTACCAAATGCAACCACCCCTTACTACCAGGGAGGCTTAGGAACTCAATAGCTTTTTAGCCAGCCATTGGTTTCTCCAAACAAAATAATAGAAAGAGGAAGAACAGATGCTCGGTAGGCACACAGCTGCTGCCGTCTGCCACGCATGGTTTCATGTTCTCTATGCTATTGTTGCAGTTTCCTCTTTGTGATATATTTATGAATTCTTAAAGCGGTGATAGAACGTACTCATTAAATACCCAGAATATGTATCAATTTGTCATATTAAATTTTTTGTTAAATATTCCTAATAGTTCTTAAGTAATATGTGCATAGCATACATTTTGAAATAATAAAGGGGTTGTCACTATCAAATTGCTGCAGCACACTCACTAATCTTTACCAACTTCCCCTCCCCTGACCCCCTCCCCCCAGATGCATATAAGTAAGTACTTGGAAGAAAGCCACTTTTAAAGTCATCTTTGTAATGTGGCTACATTGAGACACAGGTTATGCTTCCATCGCAGTAATCTTATTACAGTGGTGACAATGAGACCTGTAACATTTAAAAAAAATAAAATAAAATCATCTTTGTAACTTAAGTCTATTCAGCCGCCACTGTGCACACAAAGCACACCAGCAGCAGCAAGGTCCTGTTTTGTAACAGTGCATTTGGCGTAATGTGGGTTGTTCAAAACGGGCATGATAGGCCCTTCTCTTGAGCACCTGGTGCAGGGCATCTTCGTGTTATCAATAAAAGAAGATTACAATAAAGTCTATCATATTATTGTGAGGTGCAGCACACAAGGGTGTTTCCCTCTATGTGCCCTGGAGAGGTTTTGATGTTGCATTTTAAAAGATAGCAGTTAGAAAGGGTAATTACTGAAGGAGTAGGATGGGCGTACATAATGCATGATCCAGCATACGCTACACATTGCCATCTGTAATGAAGGATCATAGCAACAAAAAGTGCCTTCTGTGTTTCCTTCCTACTCTGTGAACACTTTGTTAGAGAATCGGGGTGTAGTAAGAGTGAGGCAGAGGAAGCGCACTGTCAGAGTCCCAGCTAGTTGTTCCTCTCGGGTTGGCTTCTTCCTCTAACAGTCTAGACACCCCTGAGCTATTTATTTAGATCAGTTATTCTCTCCCCCACTGTATACTGGAGCTAATTGGGGAACTTGTAAAAATACTGAATGCCGGCCCTACCCCCAAAATTCTGGGTTGGGCCTGTGATATTTTTTAAAGACTTCCAAGGGATGCAAATGTCCATCCAATGTGGGAACCACTGGTTTAGATGGTTGTAGTGGGGATTTGACTCAGAGTAGGTGCTCTGGAGACAATATAAATTAATAACTTTTCAAAGCAGAATATACGCAAGCATCTCTGATCTATATCATTTCTTCTTTCCATTGTTACAGCTAATTGAAAAGAAATAGGATTTCCTTATAATCTCCATAGATAAGCATAGTTTATTGACCTGAACAAATTTTAATTTTGTGCTCATGCAGCGCTTGGCACTTTCACTTACACTTAGTGAGAATTACTGGATGTTAGTAGCCATTTCCATATTGGAGAAGCGTTCTTATTCTTAACTAGGATGAATCCTGATTATTATTGTAATTTTGGAGCTATCCTTTGGTTACCTAATGAGGGGGTAAGGGGTTGGCATATGTTTGTTTCTCCAGGATCTTACATTTAAACAATCGTAATTGATTTTCAATAGAGGGCCAGGAGGCAGGAAACCTTAGGTTCATCATAAACTGAGTTAGTCACTTGATCAAGGTCATTTAGTCATCATGATAAACCTGTACAATAAGGCCAATATTTCCCACTAATTTATCTCATGCATATCAAGAACAATCTTATCAACTAGTGTTATTAAAGTGATTTACACCCCATGGAAAAAATAACTTGCAAATATCTTCATAGTTTAGAGTCATTACCTAAGTATCATATTGGTAACGTTTTTTACTGGTATTTTTCATTCATTCAAGCAATTATCAAAATGATGGTGGTCTTCACTGATATCCTGTTAAAGGGCTCAGGTTAATAGCTGTCTTCATAGTTCCTAGAGCTATTCTAAAGGAAGATAAAAAGGAGTAAAAGTCAGTTTTTTGTTGTTGGCAGTTTCCTGAATATTAGTTTACAGTTTATAAAAATTTGTTTAAATTAAACAAATTTGGATTTTTGTAATCTAATGTTGCTTTAGTTTATCCCGAAAAACTTCATGAAAATAGTATTATTCAGCACTAACCAATTCTAATATTTCTTATTGACATTCAAAAAAATCCATCCTGCCTATACAGATTTACCATAGTAAGATCTGCGCTTTGCTTACATGTAGGACTGAAGCAGGTTATGAGACATCACATTTGTACTTAATATGTCTTAGTAGTTAGTGCCTTTCACTCCTGTAGCCTTCATTGTAGAGCAGGGGAAAAAATTTGGGAATAGTTTTGATAGTCTGTTTATCATTGCTGACATCTTGCCATTGTTAGTTGTATAATAATTATATTAGAGCTACAGTGGATTCAAGATTAAGAGTCTGCAAGTTTTATAGTTCCTCAAATAATCATCAAAAGTGTTGTTCTGTCCGTTCCAGAAATATGAAATACTTTCATTTTATAATTTGATAAAACGACATATACCAAGTACATGATGTCGAAGTCTGGTTTAAAGCTGTATAGTGTATAGTCTTGGTTGGGATTTAATTTTTTTAAAGCCTGATAGAATAGAATTGGTGAACACAGTAATGTGAGGATTTCAAAGCAAGGGGTTCACGGAAACTTGGCATATAAATGGAATGGTAAAGTTACGTTATGTTATGAGACCAGTGAACTAAAGGCCAGTGAGGCCATAATAAGTTATGAGACAGCAAGCTATGTGGATTATTTCTATTGTCCTGGGTTCAAATCTTAATTCTGTCACTAGCTTTGCAATCTTGGGCAGGTTGGTCATCCTCTTTATGAATCAATTTCCTAATCTGTAACATGGTCATCTTAGTAGCCTTCTCATGGGGTGGTTGTGAGAAATAAGTTAATACAGTGGGGCCTTGACTTACAAGTTTAATTCGTTCTGAGACCGAGCTCGTTAAGGAGCTCATTAACTCAAATTACTCTGTCAACTCAATGCAAAAATTCAGCCGAGAGACAGCTGGTATCTCAAAAAACTCGTTAGTCGGGACACTCCTAAGTCAAGGCCCCACTGTATATACAAAAGGCTTAGAAAAATGTCCGGCACATTTCCCCTCAGACCCTACCAGGCCTTCAACTTCACAGAATTTATGTTATTAGAAATTAAAGCCTCAGTTGGTCATATTTGATTTTCTATATGGGTATAATAGCTGACAGTTTCATTTTACATTTTGTAAACGTATATGCTAAAGTCTGGCTAACACAATTAGCTCACCGACATTTGCATGTCTTTTAGATACTCCCAGCCCCTCCATGAAGAAATAGCATTGCATAAGCACCTGAAGCACAAGAATATTGTCCAGTATCTGGGTTCTTTCAGTGAGAATGGTTTCATTAAAATCTTCATGGAGCAGGTTCCAGGAGGTAAGAGATGTTTTTTTCCTCTAAAAACTACAAATTTCTAGGGCCTTGAAGAGAAGTAAAACTGAATGGGATTTGTAGGTTTATAGGTCTTAATTGGTCTAAGTTAAAAGAAAAGTTAGCCACATTGCATTACCTTCCATTTTATTAGAAAACAGTAAGTATCTGAAATCATTTTAATGTCAATCATTGGGACTTGGATTAAGGTTAGCGAATGAGTGGCTTTTTACTACTTACTATTTTATAATGAGCATCTTCAGAGCGGGGACACTTGCCTATTCATATTTGAGCCCTTGTATCCAGTACAGTTCCTGGGCCACTGTAAATAACCAATAAATGTTAGATTAAATTAGTATTACTTTATTAATGTACTTTAAGAACTCATTTGGATTAAGATTTTATCCGCTGTTTTTCCCCACTTTACAGGAAGTCTTTCGGCTCTCCTTCGTTCAAAATGGGGCCCATTGAAAGACAATGAGCAGACAATTGGATTTTATACAAAGCAAATACTCGAAGGATTAAAATACCTCCATGACAATCAGATAGTTCACCGGGACATAAAGGTAGGATGAACTAGGATTCATTTTCATATGTTCCTTGTTGGGGTAATTGCTTTATTTTCAAAAGCCATGTTATGTTATGGGTATTAACTTAGAATGGTGAATAAATAAATTTTAGGAATAGAAATAGAAGATATTGCCCTGTCCTGAATCAGTCATGGATATTCATATCTTATCTATGAAAGGAATAAACTCCTTATCCATGTTCAACAAACAAAGATTGAGCTTCCACTACATGCCTGGCACTGCTCTGTGTGAGTTTGGGCACAGCAGAACAAAACTGAACGGGAGGATGATCCTTGCTTCTGGGAATTTAGAGGCTGGTTAATCTTATATCCTTACCCATAGTATCGACTCAGTAAATATTTATTGAATCAATGAATAAATGATTAAAAGGAAAAAAGAGCTCTAACTGTTTTGGCTCAGTGGATAGACGGTTGGCCCTCGGATTAGAGAAGTGTTCTCGGTTTGACTCCGGTCAAGGGCATGCACCTTGGTTGTGGGCTCCATACTCAATAGGGGTTGTGCAGGAGGCAGCTGATTGATGTTTCTCTCTCATCCATGTTTCTAATGCTCTATCCCTCTTCCCTTCCTCTCTGTAAAAATAAATAAAATATATTAAAAGAAAAACGAAATCTCTTCTCACAACCATCACATATTCATGGATTAAACGAATATTAGATAACTTAGTAGATTCTCTTTAAAAAGAGAATATTCAGAACTAAATTTCTGACAAAGGCTGGACTATGGAAAGTAAATTAATATTACTGCCCTAAAATCAACCCAAATATCTATTTATTTGTGATATACTAATATCTTATTCTAGAAAAATAAGTAAAACAACCCAAATGCCTATTTATTTGTGATATATCTTATTATTCTAGGAAAATAAGTAAAACAACATAGAAAAGAAAGTAAAGTGACTGGGGAATTATGACTATCACTAATAACACGGTGCACAGATTCATGCACATTGAAAGGAAATTAATTAGAAGAAATATTTTAATATAGCTATTCACCCTTTCTCTATAATAGAAGTTTCAACCAAATTCATGATTGACAATGACAGACTGAAAGACTGGCTTTTGGCGCCAGTGAGAGCTTTATATGTATTGTGCATGCACAAGTCAATTTAGCCTTTTATGGATATAGAATAAAATTGCTTAATTAGAACTGCTTTCTGATTTAGCTAAACTTTTTCCAGCCCAGTGACGCACCCCAACTTCTCTTTCACGTAATTGTCAACAACACAACAGTAAATATCAACAAGAAGCAGATTATTATTGTAGATTACGCAGGGAGAACAAAGGGTAAAATATTTAACAATTTTGAGCAGTGAGAAAACCTGAAGTCATTGTCAAGGGGAAGCCAGGCATTGCTACATGACATCATTACCCGGTGCCCACAGCCACCATTTCAGGGCTGGGCTGGGCTATGGGCTGCATTTTGTGCCTTGGCAGCATTGGCTGCGATTTGGTAGGCTGTCACTCTGGGGTGGTGGCGGGGCCTGTGTCCCACTTGGAGGAAGCCAAGTGTTGCTTTGTCGGCACCAGGTCCGCACTGTCATTTCTCTGTAAATGGCCAGTGTCCGTCATGGCAACTCCTGCGTTGAGTGTCTGCCCCCTGGTGGTCAGTGCATGTCATAGCGACTGGTTGAATGGGATGAGGGACACTTAGCATATTAGCCTTTTATATCCTACCTAATAATGGACAAACATGGTAATTAACCGTACCTCCGACACGCTTCCCATTGGCTAATCAGCGAGATATGAAAATTAATCACCAGCCAAGATGGCGGCTAATTTGCATATGTCGGCACCAAGCAATGGAACAAAGCCCATTGGCCCTGGGTAGGAGCAGCCCTCCGTGCCACCGCCACCGGGATCCACCCCCGGGAGCTGAGCCTGGCGGCAGGAGTGGAGAACGAAGCCCACCGTGAGGGTCTCTACGGGCGAAGAGAAGAGCAAAGGCCTGGGTTCTTGCCACTGAAGAAAAACTGGTGCCAGCAGCCAGGGGATGGGGCCCTCAACTGCAAGAAGGCACAAGTTGGGCTTAGGCGGCCGCTTCTCTGCCCCACACCTGGCTTCTGTGGTGATCAATCAGTGACCCGCAGAAGCCCGGTGCAGCGGCAGGGAAGCGGCTGCCGCCAGCGTCCCCGGCCGGCACTTCCCTGACCCGCACCCGGCTTCTGAGATGGGTGACGCCTACGTTTGATGACACATAACTGACTGCCCTCCCTGGAAGCACAGAAGAAGAAGAAGCCCCCAGAAGAAGCAGCC